AGCAAGGTGAGTCAGACAAAAAGAAAGAGTGTAAACCAAGTGTTGATTTGAATGAATATTTCACTGAAAAACGAAAATACTGTCATTGACTCACCCTCATGTTGTTCCAAAACCGTGTGAGTTTAAGCTCTAAACAAAGATGAAGCGGCTTAGAAGTACAACAGAAGTTGTCAACATAACTTATAATGCAATAGTGCAAGTCTTCTTAAGTAATTCAGTAGTTGCGTGTGAAATTTTCTTGGTGGTTCTCTCCTAATCTTCTCTTCTCCAGTGAGTTGGGATTGGATCATTGACTCACTTAGTCGAATCTGATCCGTTCAATGTGTGAATGAATCATTCAGAAAAGTTTTGAGAACCAGATCAACGGATTCATGGAAAGGATCCTACTCTTAAAAATGTTTCGCTCACAAACCAGAGGCAGTTCACTGAAAATCTTGACATGGATGTATCACTAGTGCGGATGTCAAGATTTTCAGTGAATATATATATATGGTCCATATTAGAGTCTTTTAAACCTATGTGATAGTTTTTTTTTTATGTGAGAAACTGACTGAAATATAAGCCATTATTCATTGCTAATCTTCTCAGATATAGATTTTATGTAAGTGTAGATGCCACCACAATATTCAATGTTAATTATTGTTTTCTTTAGGTTTAAATGAAATCTGATTAGTTCTCTTTTAATTTCTCACCATTGTTACCATATGCTATACTTAAGTTAAACTACCATTCAAAAGTTTGGATTTGGTAAGAATTTTAAAAAATTGTTCTTGAAAGACGTCTTTTCTGCTCACCAAGTCTACAATAATTTTGATCAAAAATGCCGTAAAATACAGTAATATTGTGAAATATTATTACAATTAGTGATCGACCGATATTGATATTTTATAACCGATACCGATATACAATAAAAAAAACTGTTTTCTGTTTGAATATATTATAAAATGTAATTTATTGCTGTGATCAAAGATGGATTTTCAGCATCATTACTCCAGTCTTCAGTGTCACGTGATCCTTCAGAAATCATTCTAATATACTGATTTGCTGCTCAAGAAACATTATTATCTGTGTTGAAAACAGTTGTGCTGCTTAATATTGTTGTGGAAACTGAGGTTTTGCTGAATAGAAAGTTCAAAAGAACAGCATTTATTTGAAAAAGACAGCATTTATTTGTCACTTTTGACCAAATTAATCCATCCTTGTTGAATAAAACAACTCATTTATAAAAAAAAAATTTTTAAAAAGTCCTGACCCCAAACTTATGAGTGGTAGTGTACTTACAGCATCTGTCACATAAGATGTTCAACATCACTGTGGTCCATCATGCCAGTACATTCAGAGGGATGTAACGTGATCTTTTTCTCTCTCTCAGGCTGCCATCTTACAGCAGACGGCTGAATACATCTTTTCTCTGGAGCAGGAGAAGACGCGGCTGCTGCAACAAAACACCCAACTCAAACGCTACATACAGGTGAAGCTCTTCATAGAAATATAATATCTTATCAATATAACAGATGGCTGTTTTGAGAACATTTGAGATCTTTATACCCATCTTTTTTTCACTGCATATTCTGTATCTCCAGTGCTCTCTGTTTCTTTCCTGTCGTCTCATGTTCTCCTCTTCCTCCCATCAGAAGGAGTTCAGCGGCTCGTCCCCGAAGAGGAGGCGCGCCGAGGAGAAGGATGAAGGGATTGGATCTCCAGACATTCTGGAGGAGGAGAAGGTGGAGGATCTTCGGCGCGAGATGATAGAACTCCGACAACAGCTGGATAAAGAGCGCTCCGTTCGCATGATGCTGGAAGAACAGGTATATTTGTGACCGTGTCAGTATTGGCCAATGTTAGCGGTTAAGTTATCACCATAAGTGTGAATTTGGGGATATGACAATTTATTAATCTGTATTTATTTTATTACTCAAACTTTTTTTTCTCTGTTGGGTGACAAAAGTACCAAATAGTTTATGAAAAAACAATTATCAACGGTCAATTTCAGCCAATTTTAGTTGTTTTTGTTGTTGTTTAATGAATAGATTTCTCTGTTTAATAGGATTTATTATATTGGCCATCATAATAGTTAAAAATATAAAAATCAATATCAGCCATATATGAAAATCCAAAATAAAAGTTTTTGTTTACAGAATATATGTGTGTGTACTGTGTATATTTATTATGTGTATATATAAATACACACACATGCATGTATATATTTAAGAAAAATGTTACGTTTATATATTAAATATATTTATATATGATATAATTTATGTGAATATAAATATATACATGTAAACATTTTCAAAATATACGCTGTATGTGTGTCTTTATATATACATAATAAATATACACAGTAC